CCTGAGCGGGGCTGAGTGCTCCCGGGAATTGTTTGCGGGGTTTGGGGCTCCCCGGCTGCAGCAGGAGCCTGGTGCCCTTTTACTGCCCCCAGGGGTGTTTGCCCCCCTCCCGTCACTCGTCTGGAGCAGGGAAATTACATCGCTGGGGATATGTCCCGGTTTCGGCTGGGATAGCGCTGGTTTTCCTCTTAGGAGCTGGAATAGCAGCATGTTCGGGATTTACTGTGGGGCTTGGTATGAGAAGAATGTTGATAACACACTGATGGTTTTGGTTGTTGCTAAAAAATCAAGGACTTTGCAACCTTCTGTGCTCTGCTAGTGCTTGGGTGCACAAGAAGCTGGTAGGGAGCATAGGCAGAGCAACAGGTCCCAATTGCTCAGTGGAGTTTCCTGTATCATGCCACATCATGTTCAGTCATAGAGGAATGTTGGCTGGGAAGTTTGTCCTCCTGGATTGTGGGTTTGGGGTTTCTCTCCTCCAGGATCGGTAGCCAGGACTCAGCTGGGCATTGGCCAGTGGGTGGTGAGCAGCTGCACTGTGCATCACGTGGTTGTGTAGTCTATTATTATTATTAGTAGCAGCATATTTAAATTATTCAATTATAATTAATAATTAATAAATTGTTATTATCTCAACACACGAGTGTCTTTACTTTCACCTTTCCCATTCTCTCCCCCACTCCTTGGGGTTCCTGGGCAGAGGGAGTGAGTGGCTGCACAGTATTTAGCTGCCTGCAGGGTCAAACCACAACAGTGTATTCTTGGCTTCTTTATTTGGGATAATATATCCCAGGTCAGCCACAAAAGAGGAGCCAAAATGCTGGTTTAAAAAAAGGTGCTGGGAGTCAAGCAGTACAACAGGGTGTGAGGGCTCCAGGGTGCACATCCCCTCCTCCCAGCCTGACCAAGGACAGGGCTGGAACAGCCCAAGGTGATGCTGTACCTGTGTCCTCAGCATGGAGAGTTATAAAACGTTGGGAACGGAGGGAGTGTGTCCTGCACAGCAAGTTGGATTCCCCTGAGTTACACCACCAAACCTGCAGTCCCAGCTGGGGGCCAGAGAGAATTTCCAGCAAATGAAGGAACATGGCAGCATGAGCCAGCAGCCTCCTGGCTCTGGGGCTTGTCATGATGCCACTCCATGCCCAGAGGTGTCAGGCTGCCCCAGATGGTGGTCCTGGCTCCCCCAACACCTTGTCCTGGCTCAGCACAGGAGCCAGCCCATGTTGTGCCAGCAGCCCCTGCACCAGTTCCAGCTCCTGTTCCAGCTCTTGGGTGCCACAGCCCAGCCCTGGCACAGCAGCAGCATTTTCCCCCAGCACAGGCAGCGCCTGTGCCACCAGCCGGGCCCTCACCAGCAGCAGGGTCACAGCCACATGAAGCTTGGCACAGCCCAGCGCCTTCATCCCCAGGTGGGCAGCAGCCTCTGTGGAGAGAGGGCAAAAGAGCTGTGAGTACAGCAGGGTCCCAACAGGCTGAGACAGCCTGCAGGATGGGGACACAGGTTGCCTGTCCTGGGGGCCCTGTGTGGTGCCACACCTCGGCTCCAGTGGTGCTGGCAGTACCGCAGGTCACGCAGGACACCAGGGCCCG